GGCGAGGCAATGACACCCAGGACCAACCAGAGACACGGGGATGTTGTCTGAGTTAGGGACACCTACAATGAGGTGGAGTTCTGAGCTTTCAAATTCAGACAGGGTGTCTTAGGTCGGGAGATCAAGTAGGTTCTGTACAGCCCCAGGGCTAAGGGGCAGCTTTTGGCTCAAGGCACAGAAGGACTTTCTCACGGTCAGGAATGCCAAGGAGAAAAAGTGATAGTGAGGGGAGGTAGTGAGTTCTCCGTCCTCTGAGGCATGCAAGCAGAGAGCCACTGGTGTGGCCCAGGCCATGTCCTCTGCAGTGTCCCCCACCCTTGGTCTGTGATATCTGTGCTGGAAGAGGGTCTCCCTGGGGCATATCACCTTCTGAAGGCCACAGGGTGTGGGGAGCTCAGAAGGGTCTCTGCAGGTAGATTTAGGGCAGAACTCTGGGCCCTTGGATTAGCCCTGGCTCATCTCTAAGCCTTTGCAGTTCCCTCCACCGGGAACTGTCTTCCCTCAGATTTCAGCAGAAGCCTCCCCTGACCACCCACGCCTGGCATGCTCTTAGTGGGTGAGGATTGCCTGGGGACTTTCCTGCCTGTCTCTTGTGAGCACCGAGGAAGCAGTGCTAATGTCCTCAGCACCCACCATAGAACTGCTATCTAGTGGGTGCTCAAAAAATGCTTCTTGACTAGATGGCTTGAGGCAAGCCATCACCGCCTGCAGGAGCCTCTGAGGAGCTAGGCAGCAGGGGATGGGGTGGTTCCAGAGCCTTGCGGGTGNAATCGGGGAAGGGGGACAGATAAGTTGCTGTCCTTTTGTTCTTCAGTCTAGTTGTGAAGGACGTCGCTTCACTGGCCCACGCTGGTGTTTCACTGCGCTCTTCCCGGGTGAGGCAGTCGCTCGCCAGCCATTAGACGGCCGCTCATGGCAGCTCACAAAAGCTCACGCCCGCTGCTGGCCAGCCCCACTGCAGCCGACACTGTCGCTGGCGACTCACGGCAGCCCAGCTCCAGGTCCAGCTGTTGTTCATCATCTTAGCTATAGAGGGCACAGCATCACTGGCCCATGTAGGATCCGAACAGGGGTCCTTCTGCTCAGAGCTGGCGTCCCAAGCCAACTCCTAACCAACGCGCCACTTGGCTGGCCCTCCAGTATCCCTTCTTTTAACTCTACACTTTGACAGATTTTGTCTATCTTCTTCCTTGTAGGTATATCTGGGACAGTGCCTGGCACAGAGTAGGTACTCAATAAATGTTTGTTGTGTGAATAAATGAATGAATGAGTAAATGAAGTGCTAGGGGGAGATGGGGGAAAGCTTGGATTCCAGAGTCGGTGTTGAGAAGAGGGTAGGCAATATATCTAGAGTCCCAATAGCAAGATAATCAGGGAACTGATAGCAGATGGAGGTTCCCAGGCAGCTGGATTAACTGCTGCTATGGTCAGGGCCAAGGCTTTACCTGGGCCTGGGCCTGGGTCTGAGCACATCTCCTGTCCAAATGAGCCCAATTTCAGCCTCCCCTACAGACCCTACAAGGCACAGAAGCTATTCGCAGATGGTGCTCTGACTTGAGGGCCCACACCCTATCTGGGGGTTCCTAGCAGGATGTCGCCCCCCAGCAGGTGATGCCAGTCATTAGGTGTCCAGGCTGTGGTGGCCCCGGAGAGAGTGACATGAATCACGTGCATCACCTACCTCTGGCCAGAGGTTCTCTGGACCTTGAATCTTCCCAGGGGTAGGAAAGTCCCGTGGACTTGGAGGCTAGGTTATGGTTGCACTGCGGGTCGGTGAAGGCCATGGCCTGTGTCATTATCTCTCTTGAGCCTGTCGTGAAGTTCCCAAGCTCCAGTAGCTGGAACAAGCTGGTTCCCGCCATATTCTTCACCAGCCTGTCCTGTGGGGATGTCCATGGCTGTGGGCCTGTTTGCACCATCTCCCAGCAGGATCCGGCTCATTCTTCATTGGCCTCTGGGACAATTGCGACCAGTTCCCCAAAGAACCATGGCACCTAAGGTGAGGCATTGCCCTGAGGTCTGGCCCAAAGGATGCTCTATCCTTTGGACCAGATTTTGATAAGTGTCATGAAGAAAATAAAGCAGGGTGATGTGACAGTGACTAGGTGGTTAAGGAATGCTTCTGAGAAAGTGACTTTTGAGCTGGACCTAAAATGATAGGATTCTGTGGGGCATTCCAGGCAGAGAAAACAGTGAGTGTCAAGGCCCTGGGGTGGCAGAGAGCCCAGTGAATTATGCAAGCAGACAGAGGCCGGTGGCTTCAGGGGACAGTGATGAGAAGTGTCAGAAAGATGGACAGTGGCAGATCTGGGGGTGACAGGAGGAGGGACCACCGTGATTTGATGTCAACTTTTGTGACTCCTTTTCTGACTGCTCTGTGGAACACAATTGGAAGGCCAAGAGTTGGGAAGCTATTGCAGGATCCAAGCAGAGAAGATGGGGGCTCAGAAAGGAGTTTCGTCAGGAAGAGGAGTTGACAGATTTAGGGTCTATTTTGGGGGCACAACTGATTAGGAAGAGAAGGTCCTGTCGTTCCTACTATGCCATCCACTAGGCTCATAAAATAGAGTGTGTTTCCAGAACAAGCCTGCCGTGGAGAGCTCTTGTGATGCTCTTTTTGGGATACTATACCCTACTTGGTTGGAGACGCTGTCTTGACACATTTAAAGAAATACCAGTCTAGCATCTAAAATAGCTGAAAAGTTATTTACATCTTTCCAGGAGCCTTTCTAGAAAATGCCAGAGAAATGTGAACGCACAGCAAAAGCCCCTTTCTTTCCGTCCTCCCTCACCCATGGCTGCTGCTCCCCAGATTTCTCTCTACCTGGCTCCAAACTCTTTCCTGAGCTCTCTGTTCAGGCTTTCCCGCCCCCCACCCCCACCCGCTGCCCTCATCCTGCCTCTTTGTGTCTATGATGTGTTTCTCCAGCCATTCTGCCCTTCCCCGTGCAACCCAGCCAGGCCTCCCTCTGGTCTCTCCAACCCCCTTCCTCCCATTCCCGCCCACTTTGAGATCCAGAGCCCTCCTTGCCAGCAAGGGAGGGAAAAGCAACTGGACACTTCTGTATTCACTGGTTTTTTTCTGGCCACATACAGGCAGGAACTTTATAAAGATCAAAACACCAGACACACAAAGGTATTCTTGTAATGAAAGCCACACAGCTGAGATCTGTTAGGCATGTGTCAAACTCTCTATATTCATGATCTCCTTCCATCCTGCCAGGCTGATGCTAGTATTAACTCTTGAGGAACCCAAGTCCAGGAGAGCTAAAAATCACCGGCCACGTGGGGTCTACAAGCCCCCGGCCCAAATCCTGAACCCCATCTCTCCAAGGAGCCCCTTACCCTCCCTTTGCTCTTAACTGAGGCTCCCATCATCCCATGACCTGAAGGTGCCCACCTTTCCTGACCATCCACACCAGGTAAGGCAGTGGCCCCTCTATCAGCGGTCACCAACACAGCTCCTTGGACAGTTGCCCTCAGGAATACAGAGAGTACGAGGTCAGGGGGCTGGGACCCAGGATGGGCGAGTGTTGATGGGGACAGACTGAGGAAAGCCTGGAGCTGCCAATGCTGCCAGGGTGGCAGGGACTCGTTTTCTCAGCGCGGGCCTGCTCCCCTGTTGCAATCCCCAACCCCAGGGACTTTTGGTCTCTGCACCCATGAGATGCCTAGGCTGCCTCCTTCACCTGCAACTAAGAGCCCGTTGGTCAGGGGAAGCTGCCACTGGCATTAAGGCAGAGGATGTTCAAGGGGGAGCAGCTCTGAATGTAGGGCAGGGGCCCCCATTCCAGCCACCCAGTGTGTGCCTAGAGTGACCTGTCTGCCAGCCCCTTCTCTCCTGCTGAGTGTCAGTCTGTCCGTCTGCCTCTGTGGTGCTAAGGCCCAGGGTTGGAGTGACTCTCCCTGCCTCACCCCCAGGCCTATCCTGCTCTCTGGGCCCACATTCACTGACTGAGACAGTCTCTCCATTGCTTCTTAGCACTGCCTTTGGCAGTCCCAGACTCCAGGGAGGCCACAAGGGTCCCAGCTGCCTGTGGAGGGCAGAACAGGACACGTAGGCCCACCAGGGACCTCAGACCCCCATGCCAATCCTTGTTGCTGCCTTCATTTGAGTCAAAACAGTATTGGGGCCCGCCAACCTCCCCTCCCCTGCTGCCATCCCTCACCCTTTATTCTCCAACCTAGGTCTCACTCACAAGACTCCAGGTTCCCACTGGGTCCCAGTTGCTGGGGGCCATGCCTGCTCACAGCCTGGTGTCAGTGCCCAGGCAGAAGGCAGCCTGGCAGGGGCCCCTTCCTCAGCCCTACCAGAGAAGCTGGTTCTGGGGAGTCAGGGGAGCTAGTCCATGGTATCTGTGGGCCGCTCCATTCTATCCACTCCACCCCGCAGACCCCCAGGCATCTGTTCTGGGCACATTGTTTGGATTCCCAGTCACTGAGTCAGTCAACAAGACCTCTTTCCTTCTGAATAGCATTTTCTATGGGGAAGTGGAGGCAAAGGAGGCACTAGCTCTGATCCCCATATGCTCCCAGGCTGGTGGGATAGTGTAGTGGTTGAATTCTGCACCCCAAAAGATATGTCCAAGTCTTAACCCCCTGTTGGGACGGAGTGCCAGGAAAGAGTTTCCAGGTTCTCGGCCTCACCTGGAAGGGTGCTGGCTCAGTTATTGGATGGCCGTCAGCTGTGACTGGTTGGCCATCAGCTGTGGCCAGTTGGCTATTAGCCGCTGTTGTTTTGCATATAATTGCTGTGGCTGTGTTACGAAGCGTGGATGTCGTGGGTTGTGTGGACTCTACTTCCTGTGTCTCACCCGGCCGCCAGCGAGACTGTGTTGCAGGAAGACCCCTTGTTGGGGTCTTGGCGGTTGTTTGCTTCTCATGTCTCAACCGGCCACCATTGAGAATACAGTGGTATGAACCCTCTGTCTGTGACTCTGTTGTTGTTCTTTTTCGGCCTCACTGAATCCCCGGCAGGACGTGACACCTCACCACCCCCATGCCTGTGATTGTGACCTTATTTGGAAATGAGGTGTTTGCAGATGTAATTAAGTTAAGGATCTCAAGGTGAGATCATCTGAGATTCAGAGTGGGTCCTAAATGCAATGACTGGTGTCCTTCTAAGAGAAGGGAGAAGAAGATCACAGACCCAGTGACGCAGAGAGAGGAAGGTCACGTGAAGGTGAGGTAGAGACTCATATTAGGAAGCCCCACGCCCAGGAACGCCCAGGGTTGCCAGTCACCAGAAGCTGGGAGAGAGGCCTGAAGGAGATCCTCCCCACTCCTCCAGAGGGAACCAATCCTGCCGACACCTTGATTTCAGACTTCTGGCCTCCAGAGCTGGGAGAGAATAAATGCCTGTTTCAAGCTGCCAAGTTTGTGGTCCCAGGAATCTAATACAAATGGCAGGAACCTGTGCCAAAGGCACTGAGCAGAGTGCCATGAGAGTCTGGTGGCAGAGTGGCCCTGACCTGGGGGGTCACATGCGGCTTCTCAGCCAAGGCTACACTTGACGTGGGCCTGTAACGTTGCCAGGAAGAGACAGGCACATGGGAGGATCTCATAGGTGCGGGTCCAAGGCAGGACCATTCGGTGTGTTAAGCGCCCAGCTAACTGGCTGATGGGGCCTCAGCCCAAGGAGGAGGGTTGCGGGCTAGGAGCCTAGAAGGGTGGGTAGGATGGGCCCAAGGGCTGAAGGCCTTGAATGTCAGGCTTAGGGCAAAGAGTAGAGAGGTAGAAGTATTAGCTGAAAAACAGGAAGTTCTGGATGGCTTACTCAGCTCCTGGAAGGGCTGCAAGGGAGAAAAGTGAGAAGGGGCAATCCAGGTGGGCCTTGAGTACCCGCCCACCTGAGAACCTTCAGGAAGGCCAAAATCAGCTCAGCATAGCCAAGAACTTTATCATGGATAAGGCTCCCCAAATTGAGAATATCCCCAAGAGGTAACGAGCTCCCCACCAAGGGAGGCATATAAACAAGAGTGCCTTGCAGAGACCTCAGCCCTGGATTGAGGTTTGTTATAGGTGGTCCCGGAAGGGCTTCTCCATTCTAAGACCCTACACGTTGCCTGGCTGTGCCCCTCTCCACAGCAGCCAGCCTTGGACCTCCCCCTGCCCGCTCTGGGGGTCACTTACACTGAATTACTCTGGCTCAAGCCACCCACACTCTCTTTCCTGCCAGACTCCAGAGCCTGTCACCTGTGAAGACATGGATGTCTTCCCTTGAGGCCCAGAACTCAGGAATAACAGATAGATTCTTGCCCCCCCCCCCCAAAAAGGCTGACCCTCCTGGGCTTCAAAACCCCAACATATCTTCCCTTTTGGGGGAACAACCACTGCAGTCCCCTTTTTGTGTGTTTACTTCATGCTAAATATCTGACATCTGTTAACCTCTGCAACCCCAGAGGCAGCACACACGGTTGAGAGTACCAAAGTCACTGTGTGACCTTGGATAAGTGACTTAGCTTCTGTGTGCCTCAGTTTCCTCAAACTGCAAATCAACGCACATTTACTGAGCACTCCTACTATATGACTGGGCTGGATTGGGAGACAATTCCCTCACACCTAACAAGAATGTTGATTTCACAGGAGGTTTGTCACTAAGGGTGGGATCATGCTGGTAGATACTGTGGGGTTCAGGGTGGGAGGCTCCTGAGGGTTTGAGGGGTTTGGGTCCTCTGTGGGAGGCTCTTTAAAGACAATGCAGAGCCTCCACCTCTGTTTGGCAAGGGTCTACAACATCTGACATGTGGGGGAAATTATTGCCTTCAACATAAGAAAGGAAGAG